TGCCCGCGAGGCTGCTTAGTTTGAACTTCGGGACTACTATCGGCGCTTAAGCCCGTACTACTCATACCCTGATCAACTGGTCTTTGTCGATGAGACATCGAAGGACGGCCGGGACTCAATCCGCAAGTACGCCTGGTCGAAGCGGAATCAAAAGGCGATTGTGGACGTGCCCTTTTCTCGTGGTCAAGGAGTTTCCGCTCTGGCTTCATTTACGACTGCAGGGTTTTTGTCTTGGGAATATGTCGATGGTATGATTGATTTTTTTTTTTGGAGTTTTTTGTTTGGGATAAATTCACATTAATAATTAATTAATGTAGGGACTTTTGACCGTGTAAATTTTCACGACGCCATGGTCCGGAAAGTTTTGCAGTATTTGAACCCTTGGCCATTGCCGCGCTCGATATTGATCGTGACAACGCGAAAATTCACATGTACAAAGAACTTCAAGACGCAGTCCATGCCCGAGGCGCATTATTGTTTTTTTTGCCGCCACATTCCTCGCAGTTGAATCCCATTGAAGTTGGTTTTAGCCTTCTGAAGCGCTGGGTCGGAAAATATCCCATGGCATTCCGCTTCAACATTCGGTCAGTATTAGATGTAGCATTTGTGGAATGCACTAAAAAAGATGAGCAGATAGGACTCAATTTGTACCGTCACTGCGGCTACAATTCCACAGATTTAGACAAAGATACATTTTTAATGGAATGATCTGAAATTATACATTAATATGATCACTGTCCTCAACATTGACGCTGGGCACCGGAATTTCTTCCACTACTGGCGCCCTAAATATTGGTGTGAAGTCGAACGGGGGAATTCCCAAAATGCCACGCAGGTCTTCCACCGAGAGGAAAATGTCCACAGGGGAGCTGGCCATCGTGCCAAGGCGCATACGCACCCTGCGGTACGTGTCGGTTGACTGTAAGATACTTTTGCGGTGACGGGCGGCAGCATGCTGGGCGAGCATGCTGTCAATATGGCCAAGCTGGTCCATTGTTGCATTCGACGGTATTTCGACGGGGGCAGTCACGGGCAAACGGGCAGCAACGACCCCCGTATAATCCGTTTGGAGCGGTCCAAGCACGATGTTTTGGTCTCGAATATAATCCGCAACTCTGACCGCTGATGTTGCAATGTTGCTTGAGGTTGCGCGTCTTATCGCGGTGCTTGCCGCTTTTTCTAAATGCCACAAAAATATTTTGGTTAATTGCATCCTTCAAATTAAACAATATTTTTTTGATTTATAGGACGTTAATGTTGTGTTACCGATGTAGTCAAACAGCAGTAGTTTGAATGATGCTTGTGCATTTCGAATCTTGCTGGCATTGTCCCATACTTGTTGGAACACATCCGAGTAGTTTTGCAGCGTCAGTTGGACGTATTTATCCTGCGTTGTCTTTGCGGCCACCTTTACGAATATGTCGCTGGGGTTAGTTTGGGTAGCAGGGTCCCAAGAGAGCTTAACGTTCGTTGGGACAGCATGGTGTTCGGCAACAGCGATCGTGACGGCATCCATCACAGACGCATGAAGTACCCCAAACTACGTACCAGTCGAGATGGTCAACTCGGTTGGCTTTCCTGCTCTTGCCCAATGGCACGCCAACCTTGGTTGCCACTTGACACCGAAAGGGGTCCGGGAACTCGACGTTCAACCGCTCGCCTTGCATGTTGTTTTACGAATGGTGATTGTCGAATTTAACGTCATTACAAGTTGAGCACATGTGCCAGATTCATGGTTTGCGTTGAATAACGTTCTTGGCCCCGTGGTTATATTCCTATCACCCCCTTGTATTATGAGCTAATAGAACGGGCAAACTTCATGCAAAGCACAATAGTAGGTATTAATATTAATAGTACAGCAAAGAAGTACTATGATGATTGATTTTCACTGTGTTTCCTCATAATTTTATCAAGCTACATAGTATATCTGATTTATAGGATAATTATCCATATCCAAAGGTTTATACGAATGCAGTGGCCCATTCGGCGATAGCGTAAACAATCATTGATTTGCCGAACGTCTTGCCGTCTTGCCCGATAGGATGCCACAATTGACATGATTGGATAAAACTATTTTCCGCAGCAAGGAAACCCTTGGTATTCGGGGAATTTGTTTTAGAATTTCAACCTTATTCAGTGGTTCTTTGAACGTATGATACTTATTTGCTTTTATAAATAGATATTTGTATCGTTGCTCGAAGCATTTCCAATACTTTAATAAAACCTATGTTTCGGCATATCAACGATCACTGTTTGGAGTGGCCATCTTTACAATTGTATTACTTCAATTCCAAACATTTTAATTCCCTTCTATCTAAATCTAACTAAAGAGCTTGGACTAAAGAAAACTAAGTACTTACGTATCATTCAACATTCGTCACAATAATCTTTAAGATATTTCCAGTTGATTATAATCCTTTAAAATATGTGCAATGGAATACGACCAAGTATTCGTACAGTACATTGAATATGTTATTCAAGTGAAGTAACGCCCGAAATACGTAATAATAATCCTTCAAGGTGTACTATATGTGCAGCTGAAGATGCAGTAACGTCACAGAGTATACGTACAGTACATTGTTCTCCTTCACTTCCAATTGGAGGTAGTATACGTTAATCAAGTGGGGTAAATTCCAAAACAGGAATACTCGTCCGTACTACAAAAGTAGTGCGCACTATCAGGATCACAAAGTAATAGGACGATTCACAGGGAGACTGCGCCCAAAGCGTAAGCGGTATACAATTTGGATTGGGCTTGCCCTGTCAGCCAGCACCAGAAAAGCAGACTTGCTGCAAGTCGTTGTTACATATACTGCTGCAGTATATATGTACGTACTGTAGTCGTGCCAGTGCAAATTGGTACTTTGAAGTATTACAGCGACCCAAGCAGATATACGAATAGCGCACGTACCTCTACATACATACGTCGTTACGCGAGTGCTCCAGCAACTATTAATATATTCAGTCAGAACACCCTGTTCGTTTATAGAACATTCCCAGTGCCATGTCTGTCAGTCAGGTAACGTTAGCAGCATTCTCTAGGAGGTTTTTTGTAGCTTTTAGAGGCTTTCCTCAGGTAGAAGACCTCGCAGATATTCGTCACGAAACATCACAGATGTCATAGCCAATCATTGTCCAATCTGATCGATTGTTTTTCTCTGTCATCAGGACATATACAGTATACTTTGGGTTATTCATCCACTCACGTGTCTACTGCCCTCTCCACTTACTCTGACAAGAACATTTGGACATGTTTGTTCTCTCCAAATTAAGTCGTCAAGGTATTGCTACAGCTCCCCATGGGATTCAAATCCAGCTCCATATGTACGTAGTATGCAACACCAAACACAATATTAACAAATCAGCAACGAACGACACCACATGCAGAACAACACATGATGCCTGAATACACCCAATCCTCGAAACTCGGTCCTCCAATTCCCAAGTCTGGCATTGTTCATCTTACCATCGTCAACGCGCCATGGTCCTTTCCACTCGCATCTGCGTCGTTGTGGCGCTTTCGGCTCTGGTGGCAGTACAAGCCCTGCCCGAAGGGAAGTCTGGAGTGGTGGAATTGAAACCAGCCCCAACGCCAAAGGCAACAGCGACCACTACATCCAAACGAGCAGTCATCCCGTTACCCGAACGGAAATCGAAACCAGCCCTACAGCCAACAACGACCACAACATCCAAGCATAACCGCAAACTAAAAGGCTCTCGAACTTCAACTCCGGTCACTGCCCGTACCCCCAAGCCTTCTAAAGCCCCTAGGCCAGCGACTATTTCAGACCCCACACAAGTGCCTGCTCCAGCCCCTACACCAGCGACTACTCCAGCCACTACCTCAGCCACTACTTCTGCACCCTCCTCTGATCCTTCCTGTCCCCGTATTCGAAAGTCATGGGATGCACTCACCGCTGCCGAAAGAGAAACGTTCGTGTCTGCGATAGAGATCGCCATGGATCGTGGACTGTACCAAAAATTCGTCCTCATTCACCAAGAGCAAATGGGCAACCGCGAGGCGCACGGCACGTGCGTGTTTCTGTTTTGGCATCGCAAGTACCTCCTCGGGTTTGAAAACATGCTGCGCAGTCTCGGGGACCAATACAAGTGCCTCACCCTTCCGTACTGGGACTACGTCCAAAACTACGCGACCATGCAAAACACCCCCCAAGCCCAGCGATGTACCTCGATTGAAACCTGCGCCCCCATTGCGACTGGATTGGGGGGCTCCACGCAAGGCTCAACTTCCAGCGCCTCCTTCTTTGGCTACACGTATCCGAGCAACCGCTGCGTCAACCAACGTCCTGTGAACCACATGTGCACTACCCCTGGCTCTGCTTCTTGTCCGAAATGCACCCCTCGCGGCAACTGGGCTAAAACTGCCATGATTTCAGACATGGGGATTGCCAGCGTTCGCCAAAGCGTGCTGGGAGGCTCTGACATCCTAACCGTGTCGCGCAACATTGAAAACTCGCCCCACAACATCCTCCACAACACGCTGAACGGTCCGATGGCCAACGCCCAGATCTCCCCCGTGGACCCCATCTTTTTCATGCACCACAACACGATCGACTTGCTGCATACCATCTACTACCACTGCAAAGTCGAGTCGCTCAACTTGAGCGACTTGCAGCAGCAAAACGACCTCCGGTCGTTCCAGGGATGCTCCACCAGCAACGGTGAAACCGTCGGGCCGACGTCCTCGCTTCGCATGCGACTGGTCGTTTCGGGCCAAACGATTGAAGTGGCCAACGACCCGCTCATTGGGTCGTTCTTCAAGGACTTGCCCACGCAGTACTACAAACTCACGGACGCCCGTCAATTGGGCTACTCGTTTGATATTCAGGGACTGCTGGGGGAGTTGTACACCACATGCGGAAGCAGTAGGAGCTCCACCCGTGGCATCAAGAGAGTTCGAGAAGTGAGCCATGCCAACGTGACCATTGACCACGTCGTCGAGCCAGTCGTTCTGGCAGAAAACCAAAACGTGCTGGCGTTCGAAGACGCCGTCCTTGCCCAAGCCGACAGCCAAGGACTGACCACGGACGAAGCGTACTTGGAGGTGCAAAAGATGAACTTGTTGCTGCAGGAGAATTGCATGCCGGGCTCCGTCGCGGACTTTACGCCAGAGTTCAAAGCCGAGTGGCACATCACAGGATCGTCCAAGTCGTTTGCCCTGTTGCAGGACATCAAAAGTGGGACCAATCCCGTCCGCATCGAGCACTGGCAAGACATCCTCTCCAAGTACTACCACTGCCGCGGCGATGTCAAGCGAGTGGCATAACATAAGGTAGTGTTTTTCGCTTCTGGATTTGATTTCAAGGAAGTTTCGTTTGTGGTTGGTTAATAATGGTTCTACCCCTCCCACGAACAATATGTTACTTTAGCTTAGACAGCCATACAATGCCTATTCCCGAGGCTATTTTGCATCGCCATTGCTGAGTTACTGTAACCAAAGTTCTACGAACCCTTTGTCGAAGCCGCTCCCAGTGTCAGCGCTCCCGGTTCGTTTCGCCTGGCCGAAGTGACCAAGACCAAGATGCCCAGAGACGATTGCTCGCGGTACGACGGCCATCCATTCCTCCAAGGGCGGCCGCTTTGATGACGCCGCGCGACCGCCCGCCGCCGCAGTCAATCCACTCATCGACGCGAAGCCCTAAAACCGATTAGGTGCAACTTCGTGCTCGGGTATACGCGAGCGAGATTATTCAAAATAACAATGCATTGGGTATACGCGAGATTATTCAAAATAACAATGCATTGTTGATTAGCAAAAAGAGTGAAAGCATAAATCCCCGAACGGTATTTATCGTATCTGGATTTTGGGTTTAACTACATTAATTGCACGTTAAATAATAAAACCTCCACTCTTCAATTTGGCCAGTTGGAAGTTTTTAGATAAAGTGCACCATAGTTACAAGCAAAATACACTTTTTGACCCTTACAAACGCGAGCGTAAAAAGCTACTTTACTTTACTGTTAATGAGAATACTAGTACTATAATAGTTTAGATTCTACTCCAGAACATATACTAGTACTATGTAATGTACTACAGTACTACTGTAGTACATGTACCTATAATTCACTACCAGTAAATAATACTACGGGTAGTACTATCAATAGTACTACTACTTCGAAGTACAATGTACTGTATATTCAACTACACATATCTTGAAGGATTATTATGACGTATTTTGAATGCTACTAGTACTTCACTAGATTAACATATACAATGTATTATGTACGGCTACGTATTACTCGAAGTAATACTGTAGTACATGGACCTGTTCTTCACTTGACTAAGTAGTACTACTTCGAAGTACAATGTACTGTACCAATACTATGTATTACTTCGAAGTATATATTAGATCTTTAAACCAGTAGCTACCTATTACACAATTTACAGTTAACAGAGATAAAAACAATATGATCCACTCACTTCGAAAGTCATATTTATTTGTAACAGTCAATGCACTAACACGCAACAACCTTTCAAATGATCAGTGATACCTCTTTGAGTTAAAAGAGTGTAAATTCCGAAGTGACTGAGTTACTGATGAAATCCTGAATGACTGAAAATTCACAAACTATCGTACCAAATCAAAGCAAGTTGTATTACTTTATTATTCTACTGTTAGTACAAACGACTGCGGATAGCACGACCCAAGTCCACTGCAGCTCTCTCTTGTCGGTTCAAACGATAGTTCGTCAGGGCAAACGTCGTGCGTTGAATAGCACAATAGTCTTCTCCGACCACGTGAACGTCGCGTACGAGGCCTTCCACAACGCACACACCCGCCCAAAATAATTCTCGACGATCACCCGATCGGACGAGATCAAGCGATTGCGCTGAACGTCACTAGCATCCAACGCACCGTTCACTGGGCGGCGCTTGGGATGGATCCCACGCAGAGTGTTGGCAATACCAATGTACCCCATGTCGACGAGGCATGTCCATTGCTCTCGATATGTTGAGATGCGGAGAAGTTTACGCATTATACCTGATATTCGGTTAATCAATCAGGTTTTATCGAATCTCCTTATATAGTAAATTTGCAGCATTGTTTCGCCCGTCTTTACATCAAATTAACTTATCAAAGATAATGTTTGAGTTTTACAGTGCTCAAACTATTTACAGTGGTCGACAGCTGTGAGGGGGGCTCTGATAATATGTATCGATTATGAATGGATTTTTCTCAGATTTTCACCTATTTTTATGCATAGAATGAAAAACGCGTTTATTAGATATGGAACTTTATTATGTAATACAGTGAAAAATGACTCATGTTGAAACTTTGCAACATCGCTTTAGCGAGAATATCAACATTGAAGATGTGTTTAAATGCTCACTTTGTAGCTTGGCATGTGAGCTACAATGTTCATATTAACTGCTTATCGCTAGCATTTATGCAGCAATAATTATTCCCAAAGGCCCCCTCACAGCTGTCGACCACTGTTACCTAAACATTGCGTTTATATCGACCCCATCAGTGCGGTGACAGTCAGAATAGAACTTGGACAGCCCTCGGTGTGCAGGTCAGGTATCGACGTGATACTTTGGGGGTGTACCTACTTTCATCGTTTAGATGCTTGGACCTAGTTTCATGAGCACACGTCTGTTGAAGTTCGGTATGTTGATGGCAACGGAATCATCCGGATACCGCAACTTGAACCCTGGATGACAATGTTTATCACCAGGACAGCATTGCACACTTACATCATTGCACCAGAAACGAAGATGCAGCGACCATCAAGGGCATTGGCGCTAGGTCACCTTCAAGTGCGTAGGCAGAAGAGAACAACAGGATATATGTGTTGAAGTAGTTCATTAGCTTAACACTCCTTAATCACT